CATAAATATAAACATGCAACTTCCCCTCATAATGATTTAAGAGGATGTGAAGAGATGTTGGGGCGTGTCTATAAAATGACTGACAATCCAAATGGAAACGTACTTTCCGGACCAAACGGCAGATTTCCAAACTTTTTGACATAATTTTTCCCATTATTTGTACTAATACGAAATGAAAAATATTGACTATTGCACCTTTTAATGCATTGTACACAAAAGCCCAGAAATGTAGCTCTAATTCGCATGTGAGTTGCAGGAAAACTCCACCCTTGAAACACATTAAATGTATTTATACTGATGTATTTTTGATGTGATCACCTGGTTCTGGTTCTGATTTGTTGGTTGGTGCTCTATTTGTGTTATTCTCCTGAATAGTTAGTGGTTGTGTGCTGATCTGTTTGAGCAGAGTGTAGAGGTAAACAAATGACAGAGCTGGACAGACTAAAGGACTAAAGTGCTGCTGCATCGCTCTCTTTAGGTAGAGATGAAGCAAGGACTAAATCCTACTGCACCACCAGTCGAATGGCATTGTGCGTAACGTACAAAACAGTCAACCAAAGTAAAAACAGACCAGCATGTCGATGAAAGAAGTGTACAAACTAAATCTTCACTCCACGGGTTATTTATAAAGATTAATAAGCAAGTGGTTCATGGTGGATTTTTTCCTTGAGCTCACTGTACATACCAGCAGGTAAATGTTGAAGCATTGCTCTTCTGTGTTTCATTCCTCAGATATATTGCAAATTTCATCTCCTACTTTAAACTGCTCGCCATTGCCCTGATTGTCACTGGACAAAATCCTTTCCAAATGCTTGGAACAAACACACCAAGAGTTTGGTCATGGGGTCAAGAAAATAAGGTAAGAAATGCCTCATTTCGAACATGAGTGCAGGAGGTATGGAACTATCTTCGTTTTTTTTTTTTTTTTTTGTTTTTTTTTAAAATAAAGCCTGTTCTGATAAATGTGTAGAATGTCGAGGCTAAAAATGGCACGTGTGTGCGAGCTGAGGGATTTGATGCCTGTAATGTCTGTACGCACAGATGTAGTGTGTTGTGAAGTAGTTCACGTTATTTTGTTTGCCGTGAAGCGCTTCTCCTCTGGAAATGCGTTAGACTGGTTTACATGCCTCTGTCTTATGATTGTATCATTTTCTTTCTCTTTCAGATATTCTCATGTCTCATGGTGTTCTTCCTCAGTAACATGTTGGAAACCCAGTTCCTGTCTACAGGAGCATTTGAGATAACGTTAAATGGTAATTTTCTTTCCGTTAACTTTTCATGTTTCTGAAAGGATATTGTTTGTATTTATACTACAGTTCTGTAATGGGCCTGACACAAAGCTTATACCACCCTAAAGTCGATCATTTTCCAACAACAGCACATCTTGAAGTGTTCTATTGTGCCTACACCACATAATACGTTTGGAATTACATTTCACTTTATGCAGTTCACTATCATTATTGCAGCTATAAATAGTCATTTTCTCACCAATGTCTTTTTAATTACTTGAAGTTCATAAAACAAAATAATATCAGTGATTATATGTTTTTGTTTTTGTTAAATAGTAGCACATTGTTAAATTTGTTTATTGTTGGTCTTAGATCATGTGCAGCATCTTCATACAATTCCCTGCGAATAAGCTGTTACTATAGAAACGGTAACATATTAGAACGAGTGCATTAATATAAAACTTGCAGCGGACGCTACTGTCAGAGCTGCTGTATTAGAAAAATAATCAACACCTCTGGACCAATCAGATTTGAGAATTCATCAGCACTGTGGTATAGATTTATAAAAAACACTCACTTCATCACTTCAACAGCAAATGACGCCTCAGGATCATAGAATTTGGGAGATTTGTTTGTATTTGTATGCCTTTCTTCTCGTGTGCCACAGGATACAGTGTACCAGTATGCCCCTTTTTTTTTTTTTTTTTTTTTGGGGGTGGATACTTCTCACACTCTGACCTTGTTGTAGATGTTCCCATTTGGTCAAAGCTGCAGTCAGGGTATGTACCAAACATCCAGGAGCTCTTCCACATTCTGGACAACCACCTCAAGATGAATCAGGTCGACAACCTCAAATTCGCCTCGCCGTAGCGCTGCTGTTCAAGCGGAGAGAGGCAAGTGTTAAAGGCATTATACTGAGGCCTGATTCCTGTTTTTCAGCACGCACTGAAGATGGTTTTTCTGATATCACGATAGACTTAAAGCTGACGTTTTACGTGACGCATAACTACATGTGCGCTTGCATTGTTTACATATTTGACTGCGTACCAAGAGATCACAGGCAGATCAGAGCCGAATTATCTCTCTTCCATGTCAACTTGTAAAACTAATCTAGGATGTACATTTGTCAATGTAAACAGCATGAAGACTAAACTATTATATACTAATCTAGAAGATCTGGATAAATAGTATGTATAATGTAAATATATGTATATACTATTAGGTGGGTTCATATGTGTGTTTTGTTTGTTTTATTCAAACTCGAACTTCTTTTTAAAGGAAATGCATAAAGATGCATCGGATCTGATTATCTGCACAAATAATATACTTATAAATAATCGTTTATTTGTTGCCTTTTAATACATAACCATTAAAGATTAGTTCATGGCTATAAATAACACAATGAGTTTGAAGTGCTTATGATTTATTTTGCAATGATGCTTCATGGTACCACTTTTCACTAGTGTCATAGACTCTGAACAGATGAGATGCATCTGTTTTGGACTTGAAGCACAGAATAAACACCAGGTGTGTAAACTTCAGGCTTCCACATGATGCAATACAATTTAAATTTATAAGTCATCGATGTAATATTTCACCGAATCTGCTACAGTTCTGCCACAATTTGATTTCTTTTAGCCACCAATTGATCTTTAACTAAAATGTTCAGAATCTGGTGTAGGCCTGCTGTTAATTTGCAAATGATGATGATAATGTAGAGAAATGTTGGAGTTAATGGCAAATCACCTTGCTAGCATATTAAAATATTAATGTATCAGTTTAAAAGTCAAAATTATTTTACACCAGATTGTCCTATTTCGATAATCAGTTTGATTGCTTTTTAAATTGAAGCATCAATCCAAACTGTCAGATTGTTGCGCAATAATCCAGCTCTGTAATATCCTGATAAGGAACAGCAACACGACAGTTAGGGATAGACTGAAACACTCAACACTGATTTTTTTTAACAATTTGTTTACATATCCCGTCAGTGTATCGTTTGTCAGCACCCCAACCATACCACCTTAAACGAGCATAACACTGTTTTTTATATATTTATGTTTAAGTGTTGTTTTTCTTTTTTAATTTATTTGATTAAAAAAAAACAGGTGGATTTAAACCTCACCATAGTAGTGCCACAAGCCTTTATTGTCTTGTCTTCCATGTGCAGGTCTCTGGAACTGTTTTTCTGGACAAAGGGACTGTGGACCGTGGCTTAATGAAGGCCTGCACTGCAAACAGCTTGCTGTGGGTGCAGACTGGATGTTCCTGCCACCACACACTCTTCTTCTGGCCAGCGAAACACTCCTCCAGACTGGTTTCATCTCTAGTGGGCAGCACGCTATAGGCATCCGTTGTGTCAAAGTCATTTGTGAGCTGGACGCACTAAACTTTATTTTCAGATGCTGAAACTAGAGATACATGAGATACATAAGTATGACCAAATAAGTGGCAGTCAGGAAAGTGTCATAAAATATCTCGCATTTGTCTGCAAATGTTTGAATGATCATAGATATGTTTGTTGTGTGGCGCTGCTGTAAAACTGTATTATTATATTATGTATACAGGATCTTTCCCCTATATACATTTCACTTGCACTGAAAAACTGGTTTTCAGGCTAAGGGAAATGTTTGTGCTAATGTGCAGTTCGTTTACCAAACACTTGACTTTGGTTAAAATCCTCAAGAGGTGTAATTTCATGGTTTTTTTTTTCTTTGTTTTTTTTTTTGTTTTTTTTTTTAGCAGAATAGATGAGAACATGTTTTAGATGGGAAACGTGGTATCCATTGGGATCTGCATGTTCATCCTTCCTCTTAATTTTTCAGGCTTTTTGTAGCAATCCTAAGCTGCCTGTTTAGAAAGGTTGTTTGGAGTAACCACTGTCTTAATCAGAACACTGCACATCACAGGTCAGATATAAATGGTACTCTTAATTTCCAAAAGCTCCCTCTATTTTTTCATTTCTCTCCTAATGGGCGAGGTAATGAGAAACCTCTTCTCTTTTTAATCTACCTTATTCATGAAATTGTAACCTAGGTGACATTTTGTTGGAATTTATCTTGCAAGAATAGTAATTTTACCATTGTTTCAAAAGAATAAAGAATATAAAAATTGACAACACTTGTGGATTGATTTTAGTGAATACATTTAATGAATTTCATAGACACAAATGTTCTATCAAAAATATAAATTAAGGGTATTCATGGATCAAAAGTACGAAAATTGTATATCGATTTTGTGAAATCAAGTTGTTAAATGGTTTAATGAAGTCTGATATACAGTCCAGGTTTGTTTGAAATATTTGGTTCACTGAAGGATTTCTTTAAGCACAAACGATTGATCTATAATGCTTTTTAATAAGAAGAACTTTGTGAAACACTAATTCTCACAGCTTGATTGAGCAAAAATCAGCTTAACGTTACCCTTGAATGCGTTTTAAAACACAAGTGGGAATTCAGTATCAGAGTCTCTTGTCATATTAACACTGATTTCTTTAGCTAGTCTGATAAGCACAGATTCTGCTGCAAAAGTCACTGGGTACTACATCCTTCTCAATTTATTTACAAATTGGTCTGTAATAGTGTAATATCGTACTGCAGAAACTCACCTTTGAAACCTTTGTAAATTTGTAATCTGTACTGACCACAAACCTCTACTCAGTTTATTGAATGAACTGAAGGCTGTACCTCAAATGGCATCTCAACCAATTATGAGAAATAGAATCAAAGCTGTTGTGTCTATTTAGTGAGATCACAAACAAGTGCTTGTAGGTCCCTGGAGGACTAGTGGTTAGGCCTCGTTGCTCTTGCCGCAGTGGCCCTGGTTCAATTCCCAGCCAGGGAGCCAACCCCATGACAGTGCACTCCCAGTGCCAGGCCCAAGCCTGGAGAAACCTGGGGAGGGTTGAGTCAGGAAGGGCATCCGGCGTAAAAACTGTGCCAGGTCAAATATGGGAGCAGCCAAAAGAGGAACAGCAACAAACAAGAGCTTATGTTTTAGTTTTTAGTTTCTCACAATATCAGATATTATGACTTTTTTTCTCACAATATAGCAACTTTTTTCTTGTGATATCAGATATTACACCATTTTTTTTCTTGAAATATTACTTTTCTCAAAATATTGTGCTTTTCTCGTAATATTACATTTTTTTCTCTCTCTCAATATATTATGACTTTATGTATTTCTTTATATTATAACTTTATATTATGACTCATAATATTTCTCAAAATATGATTTTATTCTCAAAATATTATGAATTTATTCTCATATCATCAGATACTATGCATTTTTTCTTTATATATTATGACTTTTTTCCTTGAAATTTTACAACTTTATTCTCGAAATCTAGTATTTTTATTTTTCAAACAGTGGCCCTAAAACGCTGACGTACAAAACGAATCCGATAATAATAACGAAACTAGAAACTACCAGGCAATAATACCGTATAAATCCTCCACACCGATAGATGTCAGTGTGAACAGTCCGAATTCTTCGTTTTACATCTATGGCTGTGTCCTAATCGGCTGCCACATTGGTGATGCAGTGCACTATGTAGGGTTTGTAATCCGTTGTATTATACCCTAAGTAGTGCATAGGGAATAGGGTGCGTTTGTAACTCTACACGTATGTTGCTTTTTGAACCAGAAGCTGGCTTGGCTTGTCGATGATTTTAAAGTATGTAGAAGAGAGAGCTTAGTATTTCTTGGCATTTCAGCCATATTGTTCTTTTAATTTACCAACGATTTTTTTTTTTTTTAAAAAAAAGGAAGTTTCATTTTGCGGATTAAAAATAAACGAGGAAGCAACACAAAGCTTTGCAGGCTAACATGTTAGCTTAGATTTAGCTTCGCTAGAAGTCTGTTACTGTTAGCTGTTGAACAGGAAGTGAACTCTACATCGTTGTTTATATTTAATTTACTGTGGAAGGTCATATAATTGAAGCGAAACGAGGTTAGCTAGGTAGCTAGCGAGGTTACCTGACACAGCTAGCATCCTGGTTATTTTCCTCGGCTAACGACTCATATTCAGCTACCCTGCTAACATGTAGCTAATTTTTATATAATCTACTGAACGTCAGTGTGACATGCTAAGCTAGGTGTTTACAGTACAGCTATATCCAGGTGCAAATCAACACCGCTAGAATTGTCATGGCTAATAGCTAATAAACACGACTAGCTTGTATCATGTATATCTCACTGCCACCTGTTTTCCTTATAGTTGGTGTATTGAAGACTTTTGGCATCTTTGGTAGTGTCAATGAACATTATTTTCCCCTCTACGTGCTAAGAACTTCTTGTCAAATCAATAATGAGCAGCACGGTGAGTGATTTCTGTTTCTTTGTTACCCACGTGATCTGATGGCAGACACGTGACTTGCACTGATTATATTTAAGCCATGCTTGTGGCCTGAGGTCTGCTTTTGCCTACCTGTGTTGTCTCACCTGTGTTGTCTGCTAACCTAACTCAAACACTTTTTTTTTTTTCCTCTTTTTCTTTATTTTTTTTAATGTTCTATTGTAGACTCAGAGGAAAAGGCGGACGACTTCCACTTCATGTTCGCGGCGCAACAGCAAAAGAAGCAGGACACAAATGTCTCAGGCCTCAGTGGAAACCATTGACGTTATAGAAAGCGACAGATTAAGCAGTGAGTGGAGTTTCTCCAGGTGTGATGATGTGATGCTTTGTGAGTATTAGGGTGTACAATCAAAAGGCGCCCATTTGCCAGACCTAGAAAAAGTTGTACTCGGGGAGGAAACGCCTAACCCTGGAGATGCAAGGCAAATGTGCTAACCATTAAGCCACCGTGCCCAGGAGCAAACCACTGCCTCATTTTGTTCCCCATCTTGTCAGCAAAGTCCACACCAGAGGATTAAAAAGGGTGCTCAAGCAGAGGGCTTGAATCACTCACACTCACCTAATAAAATCAAAAATTACATAAAGAGCTAGTTACCCAGCCATCATAAGTTCTGTGGTTCAACCTCTCAGCTGGGTGATACCATTTCCAAAGCTGTCTGCCATCATACTGTATATAACCATATATATTTAAGACCAAGTGATGTTTTTTCAAGCTTCTGTGGTCTACTTTTGGTGAACCTGTACCCACTGTATCCTCAGATTTCTGTTCTTGGCTGACAGGAGTGAAACCCGATGTGGTCTTCTGTAGTTGTAGCTCATCCACTTCAAGGTTCAAAATGTTTTGCCTTCTGAGATGCTTTTCTGCTCACCACCGTTGTAAAGACCGCTTATTTCAGTTACCAAAGCCTTCCTGAAAAGCTCAAGATAGTCATTCTCTTAACAAAGAGTTTCTGCCTGAAGAACTTCCATTTTTTCTGTATAAACTCTACAGACTGTTGTGCATGAAAATCCCAGGAGATCAGCGGTTTCTGAAGTATTCAAACCAGCCTGTCTGGCACCAACAGCCATGCCACAGTCAGTTACTGAGATCACATTGTATCTGATGTTTAATGTGAACATTGACGGAAGCTCTTGACCTGTACGATTAAGCTGCTGCCACGTGATTGACTGACTGGATAAGTGCGTGAATGAGCAAAGTTATGTTTTTGTATTAAAGTGGCAGACATGCATTGTGAAGAATGCTCTGAAATGTTCTTTTCTGTTTGGTCAGGAGAAGGTGTAGATTAATTCTGTAACAGCAGGTTGTTCAGTAACCCCTGCAACAAGTTATATATTACTGTGCTTATTCTAATTCTTAATAATAATCATACACTAATAAAACACCGGGACTTGTATAAATACCACTACAAAAACCACTATTGCTGAGCGGGGGAGGCATTATGTTTTCGAGTTGCCCGTCCGTCCGTCTGTCCATTCAAGATTTTCTTTAGCATGATATCTCAAGAACGAGTGGTTGAATGTCTTTAGGATTTATATGAAATTATGTTGTAAGCATCAGATGAACTGATTAGATTTTGAAATTGATCTCATCAAGGTCACAGTAAGATCAAATGTCTGAAATATTTTTTTCCTCAGTAGCTTCTTTCCTGTTTGTTATACAAAGATCTTATTTGTGTACATACTACTTCAATAGCTTTCTTCATGTAGGAAATATTTTTAAGGGTATTTCTGGCATACGAATTAGTAACAAGAAGTTTTAGTGCCTGAATGCCTTCTTTATTCCAGATCATTACCTAGTAACCCAATAGAAAAGTGCAGCACAATGTGTATTGGGCATTGGGGCAATTCTTACTTCTCCTTCACACTTATCCACTCTTCTCGTTTGTTTTCATAGGTGAAGAGGTAGTAGACTTAACCTGTGAAGGATCAGAGCCAGCTGTGGTTGATCTCACAAACAATGATTCAGTTGTGGTGAGTTTGTTGCTCTTTTGCACTCTTATCTAACAACAAGAATGTTCTTCCTAATTTATGATTTTACTTTTGTGTTGTCCATTAAAATGCCATTATGGCTGTTTTTATTGAACGCTTGTTTTTTTCCCCACTTCTCCTGTTTAATCATTCTGATCACCGTGTGAAACCCAGCTTGTGGATGATGGTAATTAATCTCCTTGTTTTTGAATAATTCTTAACTGCTATTCAGATATTCTGCCCAGATAAATGACTAGATGAAACACAGACCTTTTTCAGATTAAATCAATGTTGCATAAAACAAGTTATCGTGATGTGTGTGTATATACTGCTTTTATCATTTGCAGTATGATGTTCAATCAGTTATGAGATGAGAATTATTCACACGGTGTTCTTGCTTTGGAAGGTACACAGAGCAGACGTATGCAAGGCACAGAGAGTTATGTGCTGAGCAGCGATGACGAGGAAGAGCCGAGTCCAAGTCTCAGTCCAGCTCTCCTGTCATCACTACACGCAAGTGCAAGAGCCAGGTAAACCTCACCACGGCAGGGATGGACTTTAAAAACTCTGGTGCTTATTGTTCTCTATCTTTCTTTCCTTTGAAATGATTAGAGCCTCTGTCTTTGGTTTCACCTTCATTAGCTATGTTTTAAAATATGTTTTAAACAAAAAAAAAAAAAAATTGGTTGACCAGAAGTTTCCATCAAGTTAACTTTGTGATCGTCATTTCCAGTCATTTCTTCTTATGTTGCTTCCATTTCATTTCTGTCGAAAGCTCACAGGAATGACAAATGGCTAACTAACCGAGTCTAAAGGCTAACAGACTATCAGGTCTTTTCTTTAAAAATATATTTTTTTTTCTAAAAAAAAAAAATATAAATGAAGCATCGAATGCTTGAAGCGCAAAGATTTTTTTTTTTTTTTTTTCTGCTCCAGTTGTCCCACAACAAACAATGTTTTCCCTCTCTGGTTTGTTGGAGAGATGTGATGAATCCTGTAAAAACAAAATTTATGCATAAATCTTTGTTACAGTTTCGCATGTCAGGTCAGCACTTAATCAGTTAAAGTCAAATAGGGGGAAATTCAGTTTGAGAGAGTGTAAATAATACAAAGCATTGGTTTGTGTGCCCTTGTACAGGTCTACACCTGGAGCGGTTAGCTGCCCTGTGTGCATGGATGCTTATGCAGAGGTAAAAATGGCCTCAAATTCAGTCAAGTTAACTACACGGGGGTTTCCATTCAGCCACTTTTATATTTTTTTTGTAGACATATTAAAAATGTTGGTTGAGGTACTGGATGACAATAGTATGCCATTATTTTAGTAGGTGATCTGGGATTTGAGGCTTGGCTTTTGGCTGTGTTTGAAAAGGCATGCTTCTTTCAGCACCCTTATATTGTATACATCATGTTATTCCTCGTAGTACTATGCATTATGGTACACTAGCCATGTGACTACTTGTCTCAGATTCAATTCCCTTTTATTTGTATAGCTCTTTTAACAATGGACATGGTCACAAAGC